AGATTTGAGGATGTGTGGTTGTCTTATTCAGCTGCAGCTTCGGTAGTTGAAGTATTCATGGGCTAAACCTGTGAAAGGGGATCATATGGAAGTTCTAAATAAGAAACTATCAAGAGTTCTTAAAGCCTTATTTTTTTGGAGTAAGACAAAGCATCAAAAGCTGGAAGATATGAAGAATAAGTTAAAGGCTGAGATTGAAGAACTTCAGCTAGAGGAAGAACGGGACATGCAGTTTTTGGACAGCAGGATTATGTTACTTAGATCTAAAGTCAGTGAATATAACTGTACTCTAGCTCGGTTGAATACTTGGTGGAGACAAAGGGCTAAAGTCAAGTGGATGAAGGAAGGAGAATTGAATTCTAAATTCTTTCATGCCTTTGATAATGGTAGAAGGAATAGTAATTTGATTAAGCAATTGAAAAATGAAAAGGGGGAGCTGATTGAAGATCCTAAAATTATTAGAAGAAGTTTTTATAAATTCTTCTGCAGCAAATGGGATTACAGGTAATGTCAATTGGGAAACTGGCCACCAAATGAGAACATCATGAATCAGGAAAGATGCAAAATCCTGGAAGCAGTTTTTTCTATTGAAGAAGTTGAAAAGGTAATTGGAGAACTTGGCAATAACATTTCTCTCGGGATGGATGGAATTACCTATTCCTTTTTTGAAGCATTCTGGAAGATCATTGGGATGGACGTGTGGAAAGCTATTCAATTTTTCTTTAGCTCGGGTTCAATGTCTTCCAAATGGAAAGAAACAATGGTGGTGCTTATCCCCAAAGTAAGTAATCCTTTATATCTTTCAAATTTTTGGCCAATCAGCCTGTGTATTTTTTTTTTTGAGAAACTGCATATAGAACTATTATTAATAAACCAAAAAGAAAGGAAAAAAACTAAGTGAATTTGGATAATTCACATTCCTCCTTTAGAATTTTAAAGAAATTAGGAGGAATGTGATTTATATCCAAACTATCCTAAACAAATTCATTATTTCTAGCATAGTTAGCACAGCAATCGGCTAAGTTATTACAACCTCTATTAACAAATTGAATAATAACTTGATTAAACTTCCTAAGAAAAAAGAAGTCTTCAGAGCAAATGTTGTTACCTCCTTGCACTCCTTCCTTGATTTTTTTTTGAATGAATTTTAAGACATTATAATTGTCTCCTTCTATAATGATTCCTGTATCTTCAAACATCCACTCTTGAAGAACTCTATTGAAGGATAAAACTGCTTCTAGTTCTAGAAAAGAACTATCCCAATGTACACATTTGAACCCAAACGCAAATAGGAATCTACCTTTGCTATCTCTTAGAATTCCTCCAATACCTGCAGAATAGTTATTGTCGAGAGAAGCATCCGCATTTAATTTGATCCAATCGGTTGGAGGGGGATTCCAAACATGAGAAAACAGCCTAAGCTGATTAGAATCCCAGTTGACCGTGATAAGATCATAATTGATTGATGAGGATGTGAAAGATATTGCTTTTGCTGCTACAGTGTTGAAACTATCATCTTTATCACCGTGGACTAGTTTATTCCTGCTTTTCCAAGAATGAAAGATGACCGAGCAATATAGATTTCCCAAAAAAATATTAGAACATGAAATTTTCTTCAGTTCAGTAATGCAACAGTTTAGATCATTGAAATTCGGTATATTAAAACCCCAGCTTCTCAAAACCTTCAGCACACCGTTAATAAAGTTGCATTCCACTGCTTATGATTGCCATCTTCAATTTGATTACATCCTCTTGGACAACCATTGTAGTTAATGAGTCTTCTATACATCAAAAACTCATTACTTGGTAAGGATTTGTTCAACAATCTCCACCAAAAGAGCTCTATCCTTGGTCTTAATTTCAATTTTTCCAGCCATTTCCAATTGGTATTCTCCTCTGCATTGCTATATTTTTGATCCAAAATTAAATAAGACAAGGATTTCCCAGAGTGTTTAACCGCAATTTCAACTTCATCTTTCAAAATCTTGCTCTGTATCGGAACAGAACAAATGAGTTCTACCAATTCCGGACCAAAAGCTTGCCTTAGCTTTACAACATCCCAATTTCCCTCCTTAATGAAATGATATACACATTCCTGTTCTTCTTGCAGATTTGTTGTATAGGTAGGCAACTTTTCAATGCTTTTATCAAGGATCCACACATCCTTTGAAGTGTTGATGAAAATTCCGTCCTTCACCTTCCATCTCAGAATTTTCTGTAGAGATTTAGCTCCTTTGATAATGATCTTCCAAGTAGAAGATTCTCCATATTTATGATCATAATCCCAAATATTTGAATCGTATTTAGTAATAAGAATTCTGTTCAAAAGGGATGTAGGATTTGAGCTGAGCTTCCAAGCAAATTTAGCCCTCCAATTGTTAATTTTATCCACTGCAGAATTTATACCTTGTCCACCATATTTTTTGCTTCTACAAAGAATTTTGCATTCCACATAATGCAAGCCTTGGCTTTTATCTTGTTTTCTCCATAAGAATTATCTACTCAATTTATCTAAATCATTGAGTACTCCCAACGGTATCAACGAATGAGTCAAAAGAAACGTTGGCAAAGACAAAAATGCAGATTTTATGAGTTGAATTTTACCAGCAAGATTAAGGAACCGATTTCCCCATATATTGAGCTTGTCATAAGCTTTCCCCAGTAATTCAATATAATTTGATCCTTTAAGTCTCCTCAATTCCATTTTAACACCAAGATAGTGCAGCTCTTTTACAATTCTGATGTCCAAAATTTTTGACAGCTTCTTCCCGTTGCTCCTCCCTATAGACTTCCCAAGGAGTAAAGAAGATTTGGATACATTAAGCCTTTGCCCCATCCAGCTGCAGTAGCTTTTCATAATTTTATTGATTTTCTTAGCATTCCTACAAGAAGCTATAGAAAATACAATTATGTCATCAACATATTGAAGGTGAGAAACTTTTTCTGCATTTAGTGAAACTTTAACTCCAATTTTTGGACCCCTTTGTTTGAACTCTTCTGTTAACAGTTGTGAGCACAAGTTAAATAGAAAAGGCGATTGTGGACATCCTTGCCTAAAGCCACATTTAGCCCATATCCATTCAGTATTAGTCCCATTTATATTGATGGTATATTTAGTTTCAACTACACATTGAAGTAGGAGCTTTGAAAATTTATCTAGGAACCCATAGATGTGAAGTACTTGCTCCAAAGTTTGCCAACCCATGCTATCATAGGCTTGTTCCATATCCACTTTGATGGCCATTAAACCTTTTTTAGATTTAGAGAATCTAAATTTGTTGATGATTTCTTGGGATAAGAGAATATTATCCAAAATGGATCTACCTTTGATGAAAGCAACTTGATTTTCAAATATGATATTAGGAATGCAGCCAATTAATCTATTTAACAAGATTCTAGCAGAAATTTTATAGATGGAGTTACAAAGACTAATCGGTCTATAATTAGACAGATTTACAGGGTTTTTAATCTTTGGAATAAGGATAACAGCAGTTTCCTTCCAAAGATCACACATGAGACCGGAATGCAAGAATTGATAAACTTCTTTCCAAATGTCCTCTTTAATGAATTTCCAATAAAATTTGATAAAAGAATGAGTAATTCCATCAAGACCAGGAGAAATATTACCTTCAAGTTGTTGGATAATTGCTTCTAGTTCTGTAACACAGAAATCAGCCTCCAACGAATTAATTTCAGCTTCTTCCAGAATTTTGCTCGGTACAGGCCATCCAGTCAACTTGAAATTCCTCATTCCCCATTTCGTTTTAAGTACTTCAAAAAGGTGTCTTCAATGCATTCTAGTTCTTCACTAAACCTCCCTTCTGAATTTCTAATTTGATTGATGAAATTCAATCTCTGTCTTGCTGAAGCCACAAAATGAAAATATTCTGTATTAGAATCTCCATCCTTGATCCATTTGACCTTTGCTCTCTGTTTCCACCCAGAAGATAGTCTTCCTAAGGTGGAATTAAGCTCTTTTACCTTAAATTTTAGCAAGCAGATTTTATCTTCATATAATCCCTCTGAATTAGCTTCTTCTTCTTGTAGCTCAATGATATCCTTCTTTAGTTATTCTTCAAGAGAGTTGAGATTAGAGTGCTTCGATCTACTCCAGTGAAAAAGAGCCTTAAGAACTCTTCTAAATTTAGTATTCAAAACTTGAACGTCATCTCCTCTGACGGCTATCCTCCAGGTTTTCAAAACTATGGCTTTGGAAGCTGGAAATGAAGCCCAAATATCCCCGAACTGTAGTTTTTTCTATTTTCTGAATCCAAAATTTAAAATGTTGAGAATTAATGGACAGTGATCCAAAGAAATTCTCCCAAGGTGACGAACAACTGCTGGTTGAATGCTCTTCAAAGCTTCTGAGTTGATAAGGTAACGATCTAACCTTTCTAGAATACGAGCTCCTCCTTTATTATTGTTACACCAAGTGAATATGGGTCTGATAAAACCTACGTCATGAAAATCATAGTTATTCATGAAAGCATTCATGTCTTGAGGTCCTTGGGATAAAGAAAGCTTCTTTCCTCCCCTTTTCTCCTCTTGTGATAATAAACAATTAAAGTCTCCTCCTAAGATAGAAGGGAGTTGATTATTTGAATGAGCCTTTAAAATTTCCCAAAGTCTTCTTCTTTCATAAATATCTCTGCTGCCGTATATAGTTACTATCAACCAATCCCCTTTATTTGGAATTTTCATAACTCCAATCACTGCTTGAGAAGAAGAATGCATAACAGTAAAAGAACAAAAATTTCTTTTCCAGTTGATTAGAATACTGCCTGAGAGACCTTCGGCCGGGACATAGAAAAAATCCCAATTATCTCCAATTAGTTTACTGACTTCAAGTCTATCAAAAGAAACAACCTTTGTTTCAACAAGCCCCACAAAAAAGGAATTATAGTCCTCAATAAATTCCTTTAGATACCGGGAAGCTTCTGACTTTCTAGCTCCCCTATAATTCCAGAAAGCTATGGATGTCATTTGGTTTTAAAAGTGGATTAAATTCCACTTTTAATCTTCTTAGAGTTTTCACTTTTCCTTTTCTGAGAAAGAATGTTATCTTTACCCAAGGAAATGAGTTCCTTCATTAATTTCCGTTTAGCTTTTGAAGAGTCTGTCAACTCCAATTGTTCAACAACAACAAATCTTTCCATCCATTGATCAGGAATTTTCCCTTCTTCGAGTGTTCCATTCTCTGTGTCAAAGCCTTTATTTTCTTTTCTGGCTGAGTTGGGACCGATTGAGTATGAATTTGAGACAGGCATTTCCAAGTCAGGAATGTCTTTAACTGTAAAAGTTTCAGTCCAGCTGGGACCTTTTGAATTATCTTCTAACCTTGATTCTTCCATATCTTTAGAGAATTTAGCATCTATACTCTGTAAGGCACACCCTTGCTTTCCTCTGTTAACAGATTTTTCTAGAATTGGATTTACCAAATCAGTACTAGTGGGAATTTTTTGGACATAAATCTATTTAACGGTTTTCGAATTAGGAGCTACAAAGGTTTCTTTACCAATGTTAGAACTAGTCCTCCTCCTTCTCATTGTATTCTTAACAAGGATCCAAGGACCATAATCTTTGTCAGTTGCTAGTCCTTCCGTTGGTAATTGATTTTCACAGTGAGGACCCATTTTAGAAGTTTGGCCTTCAAGATTGGTAGGGTTCCCTTCAATACATTTGTCTATCAAATGTCCTACCTCCCCACATTTGAAGCAGATTGTGGTAACCTTCTCATATTCAAATTTTTGAAAGAAACGACCGTAAGAGCTTTCTACCCAAACACCTATAGGGAATTGTTGATCTAGAGCCATTCTGATACAAACTCTTGCAAACTCCCTTTTGCTCCACTGGAACATATTTCCATCTATCCATAGCGGTTGTCCAATCATAGAAGCAATTCTGGCCACATTATCTTTGTCCCAACAAATCAAAGGCAAATGAGGAAGCCTTATCCAAATTGGTGAGGAGAGGCCTTTTAAGGATGAAGGTGTGAATAAAGGGGACCATTTATCCATCCCCATGATGTGGCTGTTGACATACCAAGGTCCTCCTTCTAGAACTTTTTCAGCAACACCTTCTTCAAAAAAAGAGCAAAGAATCCAACCAAGACCAATTGAGGTAATATGGAATTTACCAAACAAATTCCATTGTCAATGCAGTTCTCTTGCTATTACAGCAACAGGAGCCTTGTTTCGAAAGACCTTCACTACAAAAGAGGATTGTAGTTTTTCGGCATTGATCTTCATACTGGATTCATTTAACTTGATAGATTTCCCATCCTCTGTTATTATGGAGTCATCTCTAGAAATTTTAAATTTGATATTTGGTTTTCTCCCCGAAATATTGGTACTAATGCCAATATTGTTGTTAGCAAGCAGTGAATTGCCATCCTTTACGACATTGTCACAAACATCTTGATTGCTTCCCACTAGTTTCCGAGAAATGAAATCCCCTCTTCCATGAATAGAGGTTTAGAATTGTTGCCGCCAAACCTGTTAACAAATATTTTTGTATTTGAAGAAGATGACATTTATGTTTCTTTGATCAAATGCTTTGAAGAATGTTGAAGCTTAGGTGCATCACCTGGTATTACTTTTTCTTTTCCTTTCCTAAGAACTGGAGGCGATTTCTTCAAAATGTCAAATGACGGCTCATAAAATCTGCTCGGTCCCCATTTCAAATAATTGAAAGATACTTGAGGATGGCCAGGAGCTCCAGGAGGGTCGACGGGAGGAATCTGACGATCAGCGGTGAAGGCTGCCGACTCTTCCGTCAACAGCGGTTTACCCTCCATGAACGAAAATTTGAAAAACAGGCAAACTTCTCTCTTCGTGAAAAAAAGACGCAAGTTCTCTCTCTTCAATCTTAATCAATCAGCCTGTGTATGTCTATTTATAAAATAGTGGCAAAAGTGTTGTTAAATAGAATGTTGAAAATAATTCACTACTTAATATCTGAGGAACAAGTGGCTTTCATTAAAGGAAGGTCCTTATCTGAGCATGTGCTTCTGGCTCAAGAAATTTTTCATAAGATGAGGTCCTCTAATTCTAATTGGCATGGAACACTCTGAAACAAGTCTTGAGTTACTTTAGTTTTCAAGCAGGTTTCTCCAATCTTGTGATGGAATGTGTTACTGATCCTATTTTTTGGTTCAAATCAATGGAGTCGGTTTGGAGGGAATAAGAGGAAAAGTGGATTTAGATAGGGGTGTCCTTTATCACCATACTTATTCATTCTTTTCTCTCAGTTACTTACTAATGCCTTCTTATCTAAAGGAAGGAATTTGGGCTTGAAAGTAGCCCCTATGGCTCCAAGGATTTCTCACTTGTTGTTTGCAGATGACATATTTATTTTCTCCAATTCCAAAAGGGAGATTTAATGAAATTAAAAAAAAAATAACAGTGGATTACTGAAAGTGGATGGGTCAGCAAATAAACTTTTCAAAATCTATCATCATTTTCAGTAAGAAGATGAAGAGAACAAGGAGGAGGGAGATCTCTAATCTAGTGGGGTTCATGGAAGTTAAAGAGCTCAATTACTTGGGCATTAAAATTGCTTTAAGAAGACTTGTAGTAGATGACTTTTCTAAAATACTGGAAAAAGTTGCATTCAAATTGGACCTTTGGGGGAAAAAATTCATCTCTTTGGCGGTCAGAGTTGTTCTCACAAATCATTGATACAAGCTCTTCATGTTTTCTACTCTTCCTTGTCCCTGATTCCTAGAAGTATTTTAAAAAAAACTTGATAAGATGTGCAGAGATTTTCTTTGGAATAAAAGCAATGGAAGTAAGGGACTACATTTTGTAGCGTGGAAAGAGTTATGTATACTGGAAAACCATGGCGGTCTTGGGATTCTTTCAATTGTATATACGGTGGAACCTCATAGAGCCAAGCTGGCTTGGAATTTCTTGAAGAAGCCACATTCTTTGCTAAATAAATCATTATCAGTTAAATATGGGAGAAGTGTATGAGATGAGGAAGGGAGGCTGAACTCCTCTCCATCATGGAAATTGATAATAAGTGGAGACAAGGCGTTAAGGAAAATCGTTAGATGGAGTATTAAAGATGGGACTTCAATAAATATTATGAAGGATGTTTGGATCCTTGATAGAAGCTTAGATAGATGGACAACATTCATTGCAATGGGAGATGAGAACTTACCAAATCTATCTAATTTTATTTCAAGAGGAGATTGGATTCTAGAAAAACTACAGGATATTTTCGGTGATGAATTGGTGAATGTGATATGTAAAATGGAAATCAACATGGACAACAATGAAGATGATTTGAAGATGTTGAATACCTTCACAGGAAGAACTATTTTGGCTTTGGCAAGATGCAGGAATTTAAATATGGAAGATGAAAATATTCATACATTTACTCATGATTGGAAATGCATCAAAAATCTGAAGCTCAATCCTTGGGTAGCTTTTTTTTGGTGGAGACTCTTGAAGAATGCTATTCCTTCAATGGAATTCTTAATGCATAGAAGATTGTTTTTTTTTTTTTTTGAAGAATGCTAAAATTGCATTAAAAAGAAAAACCAAAGAAGCCCCTTAGATACAAACCACTGAAAAGAGAGATCTCTCAAACAATCCTCCTTTAACAAATCACAAAAGGAGGAAGGCAGCTCACTCTCACAAAACAATTCCCACACAAAGTCAGAATTAATAGCATGATTAGCACAAAAATCGGCTAATCTATTACAGCTACGGTTAACCCAATGAAAAACCACATTATTTACCTTATTAAGAAATGAAGAGTCTTCAAGATCCAATCCCCAATCTGATTTCTTTGGTATACTGTGCAGCTTGTGAAGAAATTCTATGACATTTTTATTGTCTCCTTCAACTATAATTCCACCAATATTATTGAATCTGTCACTTATAATTCTTGTAATTGCTGAAGCCACTGACAGCTCCAACTGGGCAATGTCCCAATGTGTTTTCTTTATCCCAAATGCAAGGAGAAGCCTTCCCTTGTAATCTCTAGCAATCCCACCAATACCTTCCTCATAATTACCTTTAAGTGAAGCATCAAAGTTGATTTTGATCCAATCGGGGGGAGGAGGTTTCCATTCACTAGAAGACAGTCCACGGGACTGATAGACAACCCAGTTCTTCGATCGGTTAGAATTCTGTTTATCCATGCCAACAAAGCTGAGGCTTGAAGTGGCTAAGAAAACTTCACTCACATCGGGATCCCCATGTTTAAACTTATTTCTATGATTCCACACAAGCCAAATAACAGTAAAATACAGTTTAACCATAATCCCGTTCTCATTTTTCAATTTATGAAGACTGGTCCAGCAATCCTCCCAATTATTAAAAACAGGAACTTGGAATCCCCAACCTCTCAGCACATTCAATACTTTCAAGATTTTACAACCATTAGCTGCAATGTGATTGATATCCTCCACTCTACCACAACCCCAAGGGCAATCAGAATCAACATCAATTTTCCTCCTTAATAAAAAGGCACCTGAGGGAAGAGCATCCGAAACCAACCTCCAAATAAACACCTCCACTCTTTCGTTTAATCCCAATTTATAAATACATCTTAATGCCAACACTTCATTCATATTCTGGAAGTTGTCTTGCATAATTGATGCCGATAATGATTTACTAGTCAACTTATGCTTCAGCTCCATACCATCCTCATTCCTACTATCACCAATTTTGACTTCACAAATGAGCTCCACAAGGTCTGCCCCGAAGGACCTGTCCAGTTCCCTTCGATCCCATCAGCCATTTGAAATGAAACCATCTAGATAGGCATCCTCATCTTCAAATTGTCCAACAAACGTTGGCCATTTGAGCAAAGGTTTATCTAAAATCCAGGTGTCTTTAAGCACTTTTATATTGCATCCATTGCCAATTTTCCATCTAACATGGTCTTTGAGTGCCTTCCAACCAGAAAGCATAATCTTCCATGTCGAAGAGCTACTCATGTTCAGCCCATACCTCCACCACATAACTCCATACTTTGCAACAAGATGTCTGCTCAATCAAGACTCATGATTGTCAATTAGTTTCCAAGCAATCTTTGCTCTCATAGTATCCTTTCTCTCAACCACAGACTGTATACCCCAACCACCAACATGCTTCGGTTTACATAATTGCTCCCAAGCAACATAATGAATGCCCCTATTACCATCAGCTTTGTTCCAAATGAAGTCCCTACACATTTTCTCAAATTCCAACATAATTTTCATTGGAATAAGTGAATGAGTGATCATAGTAAACAAGGGAAGAGAAAGGGCAACTGATTTAATAAGAACCAGTCTACCAGCTAAGGAAATAAATTTGTTTCCCCAAGCATTTATTCTTTTACTGGCTTTATCCAATATTACTTGAAAATCCTCCTTTTTTAGACGTTTCAAGGCCAATTTGATGCCCAAGTAATCAAATTCATTGACCAACTTAATACCCATAAACTTGGAAATCTTAGTCTTCCTCCTTGTCTCCACCGAGCAACTACAAACTAATGACGATTTGTGGTAGTTTATGTTTTTACCCGTCCAATTACAGTAGTCCCTCATCGTTTCTCTAACCTTCTTCATGACATTCCATTAGCTTCAAGAAATAGTAAAATATCATCTGCAAAAAATAGATGAGAAATCTTCTGGGCATTAGAAGAGATCCTTATACCCATGTCAGAGTTCCTGTTATTCAAGGCATTCGAAAGTAACTGGGAACAAATAATAAAGAGAAATGGTGATAGAGGGCATCCCTGACGAAAGCCACTCTTCCCCTCAATCTAGCTGGAATTTTCCCCATTGATCATGAAAGAATACCTTGGGGTAGTAACACATTCCAGCACTAAATGCACAAATCTTGAAGGGAAACCCAAGTCAAGCATTATTTTTTCCAAGGTAGTCCAGCACATACTATCAGATGCTTGCTCCATGTCCACCTTAATAGCCAAGAAGCCACTACAAGCCTTTGAAATTCTCATTTTGTTGAAGACCTCCTGAGCCAAAAGAATATGATCATAGATAGCCCTTCCTCTCACAAAAGCCGCCTGCTCCTCTGAAAGGATCTTTGGTATGAACCCCATCATTTTATTCAATAAGACTTTAGCCGTAATTTTGTATATCAAATTGCAAAGGCTTATAGGTCTATAAGCCGAAGGAGTAATAGGATTTGAAGACTTGGGAATGAGCACAATAAGGGTGTCTTTCCATCTCATCAAACCAGTAACAAAAAACCGCTTCACTGCATTCACCACGTCTATGCGAATAGTATTCCAAAAGGCTTTGAAAAAAGAATGGGTAATTCCATCACACCCCGGCAATTTATTGCTGCGCAAATTGATTATGACTTCCTTAATCTATGCCTCTTCCAGTTCTTTAATCAGCATTTCACTATCACAGTCCTCCAAAAGCTTCCTCTGTTATGGCCAACCCGCAAGACTGCATTTCCTGTGCTTCCATTTACCCTGAAAATAACACCAGAAGACCTCCTCAATTTATTTTCTATCTTCAGTTAGTAACCCATTAGGATCTTAAACTTGGAAAATCCTATTAGCATTCCTTCTAAAATTGGCAAAAGACTGAAAAAACTTTGTATTGGCATCACCTTCATTGATCCACTTAGCTTTAGCCCTTTGTCTCCACCAAATGTTAAGATTATTAAGAACCAAATTAAGTTCTTTAACCTTAGCTTTGAGTAACCAAAGTTTCTCCTCAGTCAACCATCCAAATTCGGCTTCTTCTTCTTGTAACTTCACAATATCAACTTTAAGTGAATCTTTCCCCAAATTAATATCTTTCAACCTGTTTTTGCTCCAATA